TTAAGATGGAGACTAAAGTTGAGGTCTTTCAATAGACAGGTATGAAACTATCAAAATTTTAATTTTTTAAATTTTGTATCAGAGATGGAGAGATGACCTAGCAGTTAAGAGCATGAACTACTCTTGCAGAGGACCCAAGTTCAGTTTCCTGCACCTACAGAGGTCAGTTCACCATTGCCTGTAACTACACCCTAGGGAGATCCAACCTCTCTAGCCTCCTTGGGCACTTGTGTGCACACACCCACACAGAGAGACACACATGATAAAAAATAATAAAAAGAACTTTTAAATTCTGTTGTCAGTGGGGTAGTGGTGGCAACACCTTTAATCCCAGCACTCGAGAGGCAAAGGTAGGTGGATCTACATGAGTTTGAGGCCAGCCTGTTCTACAAAGCAAGTTCATTCAGAATAGCCAGAGCTGTTACACAGAGAAACCCTGTCTCAAAAAAACAAAAACAAACCAAAACAAAAATTCTGTTGTCATTTAAATCCACGGAGACTATGACAGCATGCACAAGGCCTACATAGATTCAAGTCAGATGAGGGCTGGGCTGGCTAGCTTTATGTCAACTTGAAACAACTTTTAGCCATCTGAGAGGAAGAATCCTCAGCTGAGAAAAGAAAAATGCCTCCAGAAAATTGGGCTATAAGTTGAGAAGCCTGTAGGATGCTAACTAGTGACCAGTGGTGGAGGAGGGCCCAGCCCACGGTGGGTGATGCCATCTGGGATGGTGGTCCTAGGTTCTGTAAGAAAGCAGGATGAGAAAGCCACAAAGAACAAGCTAGCAAGCAGCATCCCTCTGTAGCCTCTGCATCAGCTCCTGCCTCCAGGATCCTGCCCTGTTTAGGTTCCTGCCCAGGCTTCCTTCAATGACGGACTATGGTGTGGAAGTGTGAGCCAAACAAACCCTTTCCTCCCCAACTTGCTTGGCCATGGTTTTTCATCACAGCAACAGTTACCCTAACTGAGCTCTGAGAAGTGGAAGCGGACACAATCTCCAATCCCTAAACAAAACTGACATCTGCTTACAAAGGAAGAATCAGTTTCCTCTAATGAAGACTCTCTGGGTATAGTAACCACATTTAAGAGAATCCTGTGCCCAGCAGTAGACGGGCAACACAAAACAAACTCAATGTTGTTTTTGTAGACTTTTGTCTCATATTGTTTTGTTTGGGCTTTTTCTTTCTTTTTCTTGAAAATCAATTATTTTCATACAATATATTCTTATCATGGTTTCCTCTCCCCAGCTCCTCCCCGCCTCCCCACCCACCAAAACTTACATCCTTTCTCTCTCTCGTTGAAAAACAGACAGCTAAAACAACAATAATAATAAAATAAAAACACAAACAAACTATAATAGGACCAAACAAACTGGGAGGGGGAAGAACCAAACAGAAAAAGAAAAAGAAAAACATACAGATACAAACACACACATACATTCTCACACAACAGAAATCTCACAAAAAAAAACATAAAAATGGAAACCATAACATATAAACAAAAATCTGTTAGGTTAAGAACAAATGCCAAGACAAAGCATTATAGAACAAAAGCATCACTGAGTTCCACCTACTGGAGAGCATGGGTCTGGCCCTTCCGTGTGGTGTGTGGACACAGTGAGACTCTGGAAACTAATTTTTCTTCTGTGAGTGGCTAAGGATGGGGACTTCTGCCTACTTCCGCTCTCTGTGCTGGGACCCTGTGGCTTAGACCTGTTCAGGCCCTGTGCATGCTGCCACAGTCTCTGTGAGTTCATATGTGTCCTGCTGTATCTAGGAGGCCTTGTTCCCTCGCTGTCTTCCATTTCTTCTGGCTCTTAAAATCTCTCTCCTCTTCCTCCTTGTTCCCTGACCCCTGAGGAGAAGGATTTGATAGAGAAATCTCACTTAGGACTGAGTGTTCCTAGGTCTTTCACCTTCTCCAGATTGTCCCATTGTGAATCTCTGTATTTGTTCCCATTAACTGCAGGAAGGAGCTTTCTGGTGGTGGCTGAGCATCACACTTATTTGTGTGTACGGCAGAATGTCCTTAGGAGTCATTTTATTGCCATGATCCTTCAGCAGAACAGTTTGGTTTTCTTCTAGGTTCATGACCTATCTAGTCTCAGGTTCTCGGCCACCCAAGCAGTGATGGGGATGGGTTCCATCTCATGGAGTGGTCCTTAAATCCAATCAAATAATGGTTGGTTGCACCCACAACTCTTTTTTGTTGTTGTTGTTTGTGGGGGGGGTTGTTTTTATTTTTTAGTTTTTTGAGACAGGGTTTCACTGTGTAACAGCTCTAGCTGCCCTGGAACTCTCTTTGTAGACCAGGCTGGTCTTGAACTCACAGAGATCCGCCTGCCTCTGCCTCCCGAGTGCTGGGATTAATGGTGTGTGCCACCGCCGCCCGGCAGCACCTACAACTCTTGTGTCACTATTGTGCTGGCACACATTGCAGGGAGGTAGCACTGTAGATCGGAGGGTTTGTAGCTGGGTTGGTGCGTGTGCTTCCTCTCTGGGAGTGTGCCGAGTGTGCCGAGGACCTTCCAGAACACTAGGCATTAGGGGTGAAAACTCTAGTTAGACACCAGGTCAAGTTCTCGATGATTAATGGGTTATACAGGGGCTGTCTTCAGTAACTGAGCCTTATTACATTTTGTGGAGAGCAACCAATAGCCTTAGCAATAGCCTGGGTTGTTGTTTGGGCGTTTCCATGGGGCCCCTTTGGCTCAAAACTCAATTAGATATAATCCATTCCTGGCACTGGAGAGTTTATTTGGTGAAGAGATAAATCTAGTGGACCCTCTCCATTCTGTCTCCCTAACATCTCTGGAAATCTAGAACTATTCTACTCTTAATTTTTACTCTTAAAATCATCTCATACTATCCTTGACTACAGAAAAATTTGCCCAGAAATTTTAACACACCCATTGCTTCATTCACACCCTTAATTTGTGTTTATCTGAAGTCCAGCTTACCTCTCATGCACTGTGTTTGGTCTTTCATCAAGCTTTTTCTGTTCCGGAATAATTCGGCCTATGATGCATTTGTGTATCCCTCAAAGCTCAGATAAAGAAGACAGAACTGTGGCCTGGGACTAGGGATGCATTCCCATACTGGCACCTTGTGCTACTTCAGCGCCATCAACGTGTCAGAAGCTGGTTTATGCGCATGATGTGTCGAGATCCATTTAGCACCTCCTATCAACTCCATAGACAGCCATTATCACCCTTTTACTGCTGAGGAAATTGAGGTAGTGTCTCTAATGAGGGAAGCAATCAGAAGGACAAACGCAATAAAGATGCTCTGAGGTCCTGAGTGTGCAGCCCAGCGGAGCACCCTGGGGTGTCTCACGTACTAAAGAAATGCCAGCTCTAATTTCATTTTGATTTTGGAAACCCTGCTCTCATTCCAAGCACAACTGAGTTCCTCCAGGTACCTTTGTGGATTTGAGTTCATCACAGATGCTTTTTTACTTACTTTCTGGGATGAAATTTTTATTAAGATTATTTCTTACTTCAGATGCAGTTGCAGGGGATAACAGAGTTCCCAATAACCTTTCATCCCGTTTTCCCCCATGACATTAAAATGAAAAACTACAGCACAGTATTGTCCTAGTCAGTTCTATTGCTGTGAAGAGACACCATGACCATGACAACTCTTAAAAAGTAAAGCATTTCGCTGGGGCTGACTTACAGTTCATAGGTTTAATCCATTGTTGTCATCGAAGGAAACGTGGTGCAGGTAGCGGATCAGCCCTGCACCGGTTGAGCTATAGTCTGTCCCGCGCTACCGTCTTGCCAGCAAGAACAACACGGCACACTTAGGATCCTTCTGCAGAAAAGCTTTAATGCGTCTTGAGAGAGAGAGCATAAGCTTACAAAGCGGAGACCCAGAATGAGGGGAACCCATCCCTTATATAAGAAACAGTCCTCGCTTCGGACGTGTCACTCTTGGATTGGTCCGCTGCTCATCAACCCAGATGACTCCTCGGGAGTAGGCAGGGACGCAGCAGTGGAAAGTTACCAAGCACATGTGCATTATAGTCCCACTGTCTCTGCCTCCCCAATGCTGGGATTAAAGGCGTGTGCTACAACACCTTGAACTCACAGAGATCTGTCTCTGCCTCCCAGGCATTGGGATTAAAGGTGTGTGCTACCACACCTTGAGGTCACAGAGGTCAATCTACCTCTGCCCCTTGAAGTCACAGAGGTCAATATGCCTCTGCCTCCCAGGTATTGTGATTAAAGGTGTGTACTGCCACACCCTGAAGTCACAGAGGTCAACTACCTCTGCCCCTTAAAGTAATGGAGAATGTGGTTGCGGCCCTCCACAATAGTCCTTGTTCCTTTGCTATTGTTTTCATTGTTTTCAAGTCCAACCCCAATCCTTTGTCAGATGAAAACTCTTCCACTGTCTCTCCCAATCAGAAACTCCCCTTTCCCAGGCATAGCGGTGCACACCTTCCATCCCAGCACTCCGGAAGCAGATGCAAGCAGATCTCGTGAGTTTGAGGACAGCCCGGTCTACAGAATGGGACCCTATCTTTGAAAAAGAAAAAGAAAAAGGTTCCCTTCTCAGCATCCTCATGTGGCATCTTTCCAAGAAGTTTTTAATTTGATGAAACCTGTCCACTTCTCCTTTTTAACATTATTTATTATATGTTTTGCCTGAATGTGTCTGATCAGTGTGTGCATGCAGTGCCCACAGCGGCCAGAAGAGGGCAGCAGATCTCCTGAAAACTGAAGTTACAAGTGATTGTGAGCCTCCATGTGGGCCTAGAAACAAAACCTGGGTCCTCTGGAAGAGCAGCAATTGCTCTTCATTTGCTGAGCCATCTCTCCAGCCCCTGATTCCAGCTTTATTAGTTGGTTTTCTGTTTGGTTAATTTGTCTGTTCCACTTCTCTCTTGTTGCTGGTTTGCTGCGTCCGATATGGCTCTCCTTACTCAACTGTCCTCAGGAAATTTAGCCTTTCCTGCACTCCTTTTTGAATAATATATTTTTTTATTTTCGGGGGGGGGGGGAGCAGGAACACAGTCCCCAACTACCACTAATTATGCAGTCAAGTTTCCTGAACTTGGGGAAATCACAAGGGTCAGTATATCCCAAGTGCAATGGATAAATCACTCCAGGAAGCCCACCTTCTTGGTAGCTGTATCCCCGTCAGGTCTGTATGTGTATAGTATTCTTTCTCGTACCTTCTGTAGTACTAGATTGGTGGTCTTGAGCTGCCTTAGCTAGTGCTTACCTTGAAACATCCTTATTTCTCTGTCAATTTTAAAAGACAGCAGGACAGCTTTGCTAGCTATAGCGTTGCCGGTTGGAAGTTACTTGCTTTCAGGCCTTGAAAGGGCTCTTCTGGCTTACAGAGCTGCTAGTGAGAGACCTGAAGTTAGATGGGATATTTACTTTTATAGATGAATTGTAGTCAGACTTCTTTGTCAGGCCCACTGGCTCCCCAGTAATGACACAGAGGCTTAGTATTAATTATAAAAGATCGACTGATAGCTTAGGCTTGTTACTAGCTAGCTCTTACAACTTAAATTAACCCGTTTTTATCTATCTACTTTTTGTGGCTTTATTACCTTTACTCTGTAATGCCCATACTGCTTCCTCTTCACCTGGCTGGTGACTCTTGTATCTCTGCCCCAAAAATCCTACCTATTGCCTGTTAATAAAATAATTATTTTTTATTTAATAAAAAATAATAACTTTTTATTAAACCAGTCTGAGTGACAAATCTTCACAGTGTACAAAAGGGTTATTTCACAACAATGAATTGGCATTTTCCGTAACAACTTTTTTAAAATGTGTTTATTTTATACATATGGATGTTTTTCCTACATGTATGTCTAGGCACCATGATTGTGCAGTGCCTGCAGAGGCCAGAAGAGGGCACTGGATGCCCTGGAACTGGAGTTACAGATAGTTACGAGCTACCTTATGGGTGCTGGGACTCAAACTTGGATCCTCTGGAAGAGCAGCCAGTGCTCTTAACCACTGAACCATCTCTCCAGCCCCTCTAACAGAATTTTGCTATTTGTTTGTTTTCTTTTGTTTTGTTGTAGAACTAGGATCTCACTGCATAGCCCTGGCTGCCCTGGAACTGACTACATAAACCAAGCTGGCCTCCAACTCACAAAGATCCACCTGCCTCTGCCTCCCAAGTGGACCACCATGCCAAACACCCTAACAGAAATTAATATGGTTTTTCTCTCTGTAAAGATGTTATCTTCCCTGACTATATGCCATTGAGATGGTCTGCCCTGGTAATTTCTATTTGGGGTTCTAATGCCTCATGTGTTTGGATGCCCACACCTTCCTTTGGATTTGGGGATTTTTCTGCTATGATCTCATTGAATATGTTCTCTGGGTGTTAAGTTTTATCCCATAGTTCTCAGGCTTGGGCTCTTGATCGTACACTAGAGTTCTTGGATGTTGCAGGCGTTCATTTTCCCCTTACTGATGTTGGTAGCATTTTCAAACCTTGTCTTCTAATATCCTTTTTTTTTTTTGAGCCTATTGATAAAACTTCCCACTGATTTTGGACTCACTGAGTTTTTCATTTTTAATATTTGTAATTGTTGAGTCTTTTTCATCTCAATTTTCTTTCAGAATTTTTCTTTTATGTTGCTTAATTTTTCACTATTATCACTGGATTTTTCATCCATTTTGCTGGGTTTTTTTTTCTATGTTGTTGCATTTATGGTATGGGAAGTCCTTCTGTCTATGTGTTGCTTTTTTGGTTAATGAATAAAGTAACTGTCTTGGCCTGTGATAGGGCAAAGTAGAGCTAGGCAGGGAAAACTATACTGAATGCTGGGAGAAAGAAGGTGGAGTCAGAGAGATGCTATGTAGCCCCGCCAGAAACAGATGCTTAGGACAGAACTTTACCTGGTAAGCCACAGTTACGTGGCAATACGCAGATTAATGGAGATGGGCTAGTTTAGGATATAAGAGTTATCCAGAAATATGCTTAAGCTCTTGGCCAAACAGTATTGCAAATAATATGGTTTCCGTGGGGTTATTTAGGGGCTGAGCAGCCAGGAACTAACTAGCGGCCTCCTACAATACCTTTCTTCTCTGGGTCTGGATAGAATTCATCCTCTTGTCTGTGCCTCCCTCAAGGTCACTGATCACTTTTACCAGTAAACTTTTGAAGTCTTTATCTGGCATTTTACCCATCTCCACGTCTCTGGGTTCAGCAGCTGAGTTGTGATCTTTTCCTGTGTTGCACTTTGCACTGTTGACTTGGCTCCCTATTCACTGGACTCAGTACCTTCCTGCTGAGCGGCCTACTCTTGAAGACTCAGTCTACTCAGCCAACGGAGAACTGCTTCTAGGTGGAGACTCCACTTCCTACAGCCCCGAGGGAGCGGCGTCCAGCTTCCTTCTCATCGCTGTACATGTATGTGCATGTGTAAGTGTGTGTTTACATGCATGTGCATGTATGTGTGTGCATGTGTGCATGTGTCTGCATTGTGTGCACTGTGCGTGAATGTGTCTGTGTGTATGTGTGCATGCATGTGTATGTATGTGTGTGCATGTGCACGTGTATGCATGCATGCATATGTGCATATGTGTGTGCTCACATGTGTGCATGTGTATGTATGTGTGTGCATGTGCACGTGTATGCATGCATGCATATGTGCATATGTGTGTGCTCACATGTGTACATGTGTGTATGTGTGTACATGTGTGTGTGCAGGTATGCATGTGTCAAAGATTCTACAAAGCCGATTGGCTAGAACTCTATGGCTGTAAAGAGTTGCTTCTCTCTCTCTCTCTCTCTCTCTCTCTCTCTCTCTCTCTCTCTCTCTCTCTCTGTGATTTTGCGATGGGAGCTGTCAGCTGTTCCCACCATCATCATGAACCCTATTCCTCTGAAACCAACAAGAAATATGATGGCCAGAAGTGCAGGAGCCTGTCTGTGACCACAAGGACACACTCCCTGCGTGTGCTGAGCAGGTAGAGGAGAGGAGATGTGAGTCTCTTCCCACATGACAGAAAATACTGTGAAGTCAGTTCCTAACCCAAGCTATTTTCCCAAAATTTCATGGTCCCTAGGAAAAATAAATCCCTGTGCATCTTGGGGGAATAAAGGAGTTGGAATGTTGCAGATTCAAGGCCAAAATTATCTTGATCTCTCTTTAGTCCCCTTAGTGGCCTTTTATTGACTCCTTCCCCATCTGATCTGATATCCTCTGTCAGGTAAGCCCTTCAGACTGTATCACAGTCCCAAAGCAAAGAGTTCCATCAGGTAGCCTAGAGAGCTGTGCCCTACTGTGCCTCACTCAGCTAATCTGCCCACCAATGTATTTCCAAACATCTTTTACTCTGTGTCTATAATGTTCATGTGTTGTAGGAGGTCGCTTGTTTGTTCCTGGCTGCCCAAACCCCCAAAATAATCTCTCAGAAACTAATTATTAAAATAACTGCTTAGCCAATAGCTTAAGCCTATTTTTGGCTAACTCTTATATCCTAAACTAACCCATCTCCATTAATCTGTGTATCACCATGAGGCTGTGGCTTACCAGGTAAAGTTCTGGTGTCTATCTCCAGTGGGGCTACATGGTGTCTTTACTCTGCCTTCTTTCTCCCAGCATTCAGTTTACTTTTCCCTACCTAGCTCTACTCTTTTGCCCTATCACAGGCCCAAACAGTTTCTTTATTAACCAGTGGTGATCACAGCACGCAGAGGGAAATCCCACATCATTCATGGAACTGCTTCCTTGTTATAAAGGGCACTTAAATTCGTATTCCCAGATCAACATACGTACCCTCCACTGTAACCCTTTGGGGTTAGAGCTATGTTTGGGGTCCCAGAACGAAGCAGTTTCACTGGAGAAAGCAGCCAGGACAGCAGCAGATACCAGTGTGGGCCCTTGTGCCCACCCATAGTTCCTCCCTCAGTCCATGCTGCTACTTCTTCCGATGGCCTGGACAAGCCTTTAATTTTGGTCGATGACCCATTGATTTGTCCGGGGCTGGCTGTTGACTATCTCTGCATTTGTCTTCAGAACACTGACTTGCTACCTAGTATTTGACTTTTCTCTTAGGCATGCCTCTAGAATCTAACTGTACATTTTTCCTGTGGGTTATGTTTATTGCGTGCTCCTTTTGGTTTAGAAATTCTATTAGTGCCTGGTCATAAAATACCAAAGATAAGAGACATTTGTTTCCTCCTGGCTGAAACTGGAGTTATAGTTGGTTGTGAGCCATCATCTGGGTGCACGGAATTAAACCTGGGTCCTCTGGAAGAGTGGCCTATGCTTTTAACTGCTGAGCCAGCTCTCTAGCTCTACAACAAAATCTTTTATCAAAGAGAAAGATTGTCCCCATCTCTTTTGAGATAAAACCTAGAGGGTAAAGGGATCATGGCCATAAGTCACAATCTCTGGACAAAAAACAGGTTTAAAATGTTGATCACAATGTTCCTTACATTGTATTAGAATTCTCTGTATTATCTGTATTAGAATTCGTTAAAGAATTTCGCATCATCCTATTGACTACAAACTAGAGACTTCTCACTTTAATTAATTAATCCAAAGTTTTTTTTATTTCAAGAGCACCTCCCTCACAGTTCATTAGCTTTTGACAAAGCACGCATTAACAAGCTTCTTCCTTTACCTTTTTGCATCTTACTAGCCCTCTCTCACTGAAAAAAGAGAGAGAGAGAGAGAGAGAGAGAGAGAGAGATGTAAATTCTCCAATTTTTTTTTTTTTAACTAAAAGTGAATTCTGACTTAATGTAGGTGTTCTTTTAGTTTGTGGGACATTTTCTTAATGGTTGATGAGAAAGGTCCCTTCCCTGCATGGGTGATGCGACCCCAGGGCAGGTGATCCTGGAGGGCAGGTGGTCCTGGAGGGCAGGCGGTGCTGGGATTTACAAGCAGGTGAACTGAGTGAGCCATCAATAGCAGCCAAGAGCAAGGTGTTCCTTCATAGTCTCTGCCTCAGTTCCTACCATCAGGTTCCTTCTTGAGTTCCTGCCCTGAGTTCCCTCAATGATGGAGTGTGATGTGGATGTCAAAGAGGAAAGAAGTCTTTCCTTCCCGGCTTGCTATTCATGATTATCACAGAAATCAAAAGCAAACAAGGACCACACCCAAGGTTGACCTCTAGCCTCAATTTGTACATGCACACGCACAAATATATGTATGTGTACATACACA